TCAAATCTCATGATATTTGGTCAAACATCTTGCCTAAATCTACTAATATGTTGAGCAAATATATTTTGTGAAGAATATGTTACATCGAAACCAAAAGACGAGAGAACATTTCGAATTCTCAAAAAAAAAAAAAAAAATCTTTCAAAGTTTTCGAAATTTCTTTGTACATTTCTACTTCTATGTCTTAAGGGCCAGAAAGGAGGTAAGGCCAATATTTTGCTGTAATCTGAAAAGACAGTTAATTGCATCTGAACGAATCTGCTTCTGGCAAAGCAATTTTTTAGGACATAAGCTGGATTCACTTTGATTGGCGATTCAATGAACGTCCATTTATTCCTTAATTCATGCTTCCTTTATTTTCATCAAATTATTTTGTCTGATGTTCTTTCCTCCCCACTCTTATATATATATATATATATATATATATGTATATATATGTGTGTGTGTGTGTGTGTGTGTGTGTGTGTGTGTGTGTGTGTGTGTGTGTAAATAAATTTATATATTTATATATATGAACATATGCCTATATGTATCTGTGCAATGTTTTATCATTGTGGGAGAATATATTTTTATCCTAAATGTATCAACCTTCGTAAAATAAGGATTATCTACAGATTTTATGATTCAGTCCCCTTCAGCTGCCATAATGTTTTAATCAAGCTATTGAGCATTGTATTGATATGTCTGTTTTATCTTTTTTGTGCCGATCTGGGGTTTATATGGAGATTAATCATAGCTTATCTTACTCAGGTTCACGACCAAATTAAGAGAACACGGGAAGTTTGTGTTGTGTCAATATTCAAAATAGAACCAGCGCGCATGAACTGTAAATCCTGATCTCTAAAAGAACGGAAGCAACTGAAATATACGGTACTACCCCGCGGTATCGTAATCAGAGATTCTACACACACACACACAGAGAGAGAGAGAGAGAGAGAGAGAGAGAGAGAGTGAGAGTGAGAGCGAGAGAAAGAGAGAAAGGGGAATATCAGTTTGTATGCTAACAGAATAAACTAAATAATTAAGATAGATATATACATACATAAATACATACATTGTCACTTTGCAGAAAAAGATAATCTCCTCATTTGGAAGTTTTCTAATTTATATTTTCCATCATCTATAGACGAACTAATGCTCTGGAATGGGCCAGTAAGCGATTCTTATGGCCAGTATCACTTTTACAAACTCCCTTGCCCACGTTATTAACATAACGTTTGTCTGTATTACCTAGGTTGGCAAAAAACCATCCCTGTGCACAATCAATTATGTATGAGTCTCACAACAGATTTAGAAACCTAGTCACAAAACCCTCACAAGTAACCTGCATGTATTTCTTCTAGGGGGTTGCATTTGTAGAAGTTTGCGCCTGGTCTCTCTGGTAAGATCTCAGGTGTCCGGCTAACTAGCTGTCGTAAGGATGACTTTTCCCTAAATACTGTATGTATGTTTGTGTCTTAAGAACTCTGGAGTTGATTCTTAATAGAGCTTTTCTTGTGTAATGTTCAAATATCTCCTGCCCATCATTGTTTCAGGGTTGCCGAAATCAACTGTAAATATACACAAGGCACTTATCTCCCTTTTGTGGAGGCAGGGTGGAGTAATGGATAGCGGCTTGGATTGAGGAATCGGAGAGCCGAGTTCGAATTCCAGTCGAATCCATTACATTCACTTACGTGCTAATACCCTTAGGAAACGTGTGAATCCTCTTCTTCTCCCTCCAGCTATGGGTAAATAGCAGGACAGACTGGGTTCTATAGCCTTGGATGGCAACTGGTCTAGGAGAAGGAAACTCTGAATTTAAACCTGCTCTTAGAGGAGGGTGAATAGAGTCTCTCTGAGCCTTGGTTGGCAATCCATTTAGTGTTGGTGTCACGATAAAAACACCCTTGGTAGCCCTAGCGAAGCATCAAGAATTCAGCTATTTGACAAGATTATGAACTACACCAATCAAAGTATTAGTTAGGACAGATAAGGAATACTGGAAAGGTGTAGTGAGTTCAATCTCGGCTGAGGCCGCAAGATGATGATTTGTGGAGATAAATCACAAGGGTCATGTGTCTACCGCTTACTGACGTCACACCATATAGAGACGAAAACGCAAGTTATTTTCAGTTTGTTTACAGCAACCAAACGTTTAGGTCGCTTTCTTTAGCTCAGGCCCCCACTTTACATGTGATATATTATTCACAGCGTGGGACACTTATATATATATATATATATATATATATATATATATATATATATATATATTTTATATATGGCTTAGTGATATAAAAGTCACTCTGAGTACAAAGCATTCGTTTTCGTTTCAGCCTTTCCGTTCTGTCCGTGAAATATCGGTTTTATCATATCACGCATATAATGCCCATAATAGGAGAAATAACAAAAAGAAGAAGAAATCTTTTTTTCCAAGCTCTACCTCGTTACACTCTGGTGTCTACGATATGATATTAGATTTCCGACAGGTGATATTATTATTACTCGTTAGCTATTGAACGCGACGCGATATGAACAAACAAGCAAATCTGAAATGTTCATTTCCTGGTCAGCATAATGTCGGTAACAGGAAAAAATGCACCTAACGTTTTCCACGTGAAACGGATCGCTATGATACATTTCCGCGATAGCACAGCGATATATAAAACTGAAAAATTTCGTCAGTCCTGTCAGACATAAAAAAATACAAGAACTCTTGTCCACGACGTGAAAATTAATCTAATGTTAACTAGCGACATTTCCATCACATTAATTAACGAAAAAATTTCTACGCATATTTTTCATCACGGTAAATGTCCAAGAAGAAGGGACAATTCTTTGTTCAGAAACATAAAAAAAAACACATATTTGTCTAACACGTTAAATAATTCCCATTCCTTGCCTTTTCGGCTAGGGACTCTATGTCGTTTACATCAAATACGTCTCAGTCTATCTAGCTAGTGTATTTTACGTTTGAATATTTTTCCGTCCTCTTTTTAATTCAGAAGTTGAATACAAAAAAAATCCTTCCACCTTTGACCTTTTTTCTTCCATTTTGACATTTTTTTTCCATTTTAGCCATCTTCTTTTCATTTTAGCCTTTTTTTTTCAATTTAGCCTTCTTCTTTTTTCATTTTAGCCTTCTTTTTCATTTTAGCATTATTTTTTTCATTTTAGCATTATTTTTTCATTTTAGCCTTCTTCTTTTTTCATTTTAGCCTTCTTTTTCATTTTAGCCTTTTTTTTCATTTTAGCCTTTTTTTTCATTTTAGCCTTCTTCTTTTTTCATTTTAGCCTTCTTTTTTCATTTTAGCCTTCTTTTTTCATTTCAGCATTATTTTTTCATTTTAGCATTATTTTTTTCATTTAGCCTTCTTCTTTTTTCATTTTAGCCTTCTTTTTCATTTTAGCCTTCTTTTTTCATTTTAGCCTCCTTTTTTTTCATTTTAGCCTTCTTTTTTCATTTTAGCCTTCTTTTTTATTTTAGACTTATTTTTTCATTTTAGCCTTCTTTTTTCATTTTAGCCTTATTTTTTTTATTTTAGCCTTCTTTTTTCATTGTAGCCTCCTTTTTTCATTTTAGCCTACCTTTTTTTCATTTTAGCCTACCTTTTCTTCATTTTAGCCTTCTTCTTTTTCCATTTTGCCTTATTTTCATTTTAACCTTCTTTTTTGTTCATTTTAGCCTTTTTTGAATTTGTCTATAGTAAAGTTAAATACAGCCTCGCGTAGTTAACTAAAGGGTTTTTATGTGTTGTTTTGTGCTAATTTTGAAAGCATATCTTTTGATCATAATTCCACTATTTCCAAATGTGATTTTTTTCAAAGTGTTCACTTTCTATTACTAAATAGGTCAAGTGAATCGGACAAACCTTTGCATATGCTGCTCTTCGGCGTGGTAGTGACATATTTCCGTTATACTGATTTTTGTAGTTTGTTAACTGCCGGATATTAACAGTATTTTGCCTTTGTATATATAATTTATGACATACAACTGTTACCATATATGTTTATGATATTGGCTTTTGTTCTAAACCAAATATTTTCAATATGGCCGCCATCTTCTTCACCTCCAAGTTGAGTTTGAATTTTGGCGAGCTTCAGCAGATATCAGGCCTCATACCCCTGTACTTCATCTCCTCATTCAACCATGACATATAACACATGGTTGTAAGCCCGACCCCTTTTAACTCATTTGAGTGTCATTACCTACTTGACAACATACTACCAGATATAAATTTGGTGATATTGGATGCAAATAATTTTTGACGTGTTTTCGCCTGACCTTTCATTTCATTGATAAATAGTATTTTGTGTTCGCTCATGTTATTTTTCTAGAGATATTTTCCTGGATTTCAAGATAATTAAACCACCATGTGTGAAGAGGAGTCTACTATGACACCATTTTACAAAAGTAAAAATCCTGCAGACACCAAGTTTCATATCATTGACGATTTCCTTCTAAAGACACGTGCATGCACTGTCAGTTATTTGTGGAATAACAAAAAAGACCAGAAGCTTCGGAGGCTTCTTCAGGTCTATTAAACATCTTGAAATGTTCAAATATTCGTACCCTGCACACTGACTTTTAAATAGAGCGAGACTTAGCTAAGTCAAGTGTGTTGCGTAGAGAAGACCACTCAAGATCCTGATGTTACATTAACATTTTAATACACGCGTTAACAGTGCAAAAATTAAATATTTGTTTGGGCAAGTTGAAACCAGCCTTTCCTGGATGTTACATGACTAAATGAAGACACTGTCAAACTGTGACTTGATCCGAGTGTCATTCGATTGTCCAAAACATTTTCTATCATGTTTTCTCTTTCAATATTTTTTCATATGAACGTTTGCTTTACACTAACATCGGAAGAAATGTTTGTGCTAATAAGTGTATAAGATAAAAACTCCTATATTTTAAAACCAATAAGTGAAGCAAACACAAGGGAAAGATGCATACAAATACATGTTACTAAATTCAGTACGTACGTAAACAATTTTACAATTTTGTAAAAAAACAG